TTCCGTGCGGGTGGGTGTGCAGTTGAAGCGAGAACTAGCTGGTGACCTTGAACTTGTGAAAAGCCGTGGATGAGACACGCACAGGCATTCTTCAAAATAAAATAAAAAAAGAACAAACGATAAAAGAATGCATGTCAAACAGCAGAGCAGCAGAAAGGCAGGATATAGAGAGTGCAGGGGCTTGGCTTGGCTTTTGTGAGGCGCAGGGGAAGGCAATCCGAACGTGAGATCGTCGAACTCCTGCAAGCACTTGCAACACCCTGATCACCCCTATCTAAGGGTTCGACAGTCCGCCAGACTTCATATTTGCAGCCTTACGACGGACCTATGAACTGTGAAATAGGGGTGACCAGGCGCGATTAAGCGCTAGGTCAGGAAGCGACGTCGCCGTCACGTACCTAGTCGCTCGAAGTGGTCCCATCCGCACTCGGGGGACGTGCATTTGTACTTGTCCTCGGGTGCACTTTTCCAGCTTTCTGCTATGGCGTAGCACCCGACTTTATTGATATCGAAGGATCGGCAGACAAAGTCGACCTCCTGCACGCATCGTCTCGCACACTCTTCCGCGTCCACTCCGGAGTGGTATTTGTACAGGTGCCGACCTAGCACCACGCTCAGACCGCTGCCAGCTGTTTTGAAAACTGATCCAATGCTGTGGGGAGGGTAGAGTAGGGGAACGTCACGGGTACACACACTAACACACATGCACCTCAGCTTCTCCAACTACCACACATATTTGGTTCAGATCATTAAGGCTGTAACTCAGTCAGAGCGGCCGGGTTCACGTCGGTATCCCCTGGGGACACATGTTAGGGGCGCTGACACACAGAACCGAACAGGTTAAGGTGTGGGGAAAGAAGGGGGCATACGTCGTTAGATTAAGAACATACCCCGACTGTACAATATATATGGAAAGGGTCCAAAGTCTGTTATGGGCAGCACGAATTGCGGAACAAATATTCCCTCCCTAGCGTTATTTCCTTCAGTCATTTTCTAGAAAAGGGGCAGCTCAACGCTAGTTGTGGTAGGATATCTGCACAAATTTCCAATTCCAAATACCTGGCGATTTACGAAGTATCGTTTCCACCATGCAAGAACAACATTGTGCCATACCGGTATTTGAGCAACCGGCCTCTCCGGATCCGTATGTAAATATGCCCTCCCAAGAAGGAATGGCAAATAACTTGGTACTTGTGCTATCGAAGTTAAATCAACTCCAGAAGCTTGCTACCCCGCAACGCCCTAGGAACATTTCCTTGGCGAGCCCCGAGACATAAACGTACCGATTTGTTGGCTAAATCACTACATGCACAAAGGCCCCCCAAGGCACCAAATCAAGGGAATGACCTACCTGAATCGGCGGCTGCGGCCTCCACGTTTCTCCACAATACCAGGAAGAGTCCCGATACCAGTAGCAGCATCTTCTTCGACCTATCATGGGGAGAGAAAGGCCACATTATTCCTTCCCGTCTCTGCCGATTACACGCCTGAACTTTAAACCTCCCCGTGTGGCGGGATCTCCCAAAGTTCGGCTGTCAGATAAGGAAAATCCCAAGGTGTGGATATACGTCCTGGAGTCCCCGCCCGAGCCCGGCGCTAGGTCCGCAGAAATGGCTGGCTTCGCTCTGACTGGAATGTACTCGTTCTGGGTAGAAGTTACTAGAACCCCGGTTGCTCTACGTCTGTTGATAGAAAGTGGATGCAGCGCTAATGACCACGACCTTCCGTCACGGTCAGGTCCCAATTGGGATTCGAACCCTAAACCGCTACGACCGCTGTGCTCGTAGGTTGAGTCACTGAAACAACTTCCCGGGACCTTCCACTAGTGCCAGTTCGAGTTTCCCTAGCCGTCGGGGGAGCCACTTCTGACCCACCAATCAGAGGTCAGAGGTTAGCGCCGTGGAGTGGGTCTCTTGTATACAACTCGCCCTGATCTGTTTGTAGGATCCCTGCCACTAGAAAGCCGGGGGTATTTCTAGACCGTGTGAGAGCCCAACCCAGGTTTGTCTGTGCGTCGAAGGTGTCAGCGAGGTTTTTGTCTCAGCGGTGTTAACCCTGTTTGTGATTTCAACATTACAAGGAACGCCAAAGCCAAGGGCGCACCAGTAGGGCCTTTTTATTACGGTGTAGCTAGCAGACCAATGTTTTATTTGTTCCGTCCCGCCGAAGGAGAAGTCCAGGCGTACCGGCCCGCAGGTCTATAGGTTATCTGTCTGGAACGCTGCCAAGTACACCGCTATCTGCCAGCTGATACCCGCACGGACAATTGATATATTCCACGGTGAGAGAGGGCGAGGACGTTTTGGGGTTAAAGACCGATAGACTAACAAGAATTGAAGACCGTTCACATGGGCTTGATAAAAAGAAAATAAAAAGGAAACGCACTTCCATAACGGGAGGGAGCTAGGCCAGAAACGTTCAATGAATTTTGCCCAAGGCTAATTGAAGCTACTCGAACGAAGGTCGCGTTCCTAAAGGGTTGGACGGTTTCCGGTAGGACTGTACGTGTTGTCCCACAGGAAACGTCATGACAAGTACACTACAGGGCCGTGAACAAGATTTATCTCCCACTGACCTTTTCAGCTGCCCCTCGCGCATGACAAACATAAAGGCGTCCCTTTCCGTGCTGCGCAAATAAAAGAAATACGAACAACGTGGTGTTGGGAAGATAAACATTGCTCTAAAACCGTTCAAACTAATCCCACCAGTAGCAAAAACATGTGTAAACCTGACGGCTCACCTCATCTCGGAGGATCCTCTTCAAACTGCGGGCCAAACCTTTGATGGGAAGGGGAAGGGTATTATCCTCGCTTGGGCAGTGCTGAATGGAGCAAGGAGAAAATGCCAGGAATTATCCGGCTCCCCTAGAGACCGGGGGTGACGACAACTCACGAACAGCGCACGACGAGTTCCCCCGGGTCGGCAGGCTAGCTGCTCCGACGGACAGGCAGAGGACAGACGCACGTGCACAAACGGACGTCGACGTTGAGGTGACTCCTCTGGAAAATCACGGTGCCGGTTTATTTATTGTACCTTGTCATCGGGCGATGTCCTGATGTCAGTTTCCGTGAGTCGGAATTCGCGGAAAAGATTAGGCCGTCGTCCGCCGTGTCATCACCTGTTTTTTGAGAACATGAACCCTCCAAATGGTCGGGTTTCAGTCGCCGCCGTGACGAACTTCCTATTTACGGCGCGCCTTGTTGTTTGTCGCGGAAGGAGATTTTTTTCTCTCGGTTCTCGGTTGTTTCAGGTTCAGCAGGGTCGTCGCCCCCGTGCTGAGAGTATTTGCGTGCCAAGCCTGCTTTGCGGTCAGGACAGTGGGTACCCCAGTCAACAATGTGATTGTTGTCGCCTGATGCAATGTTTTCGTTGCAAACCTCTGTTCCTTGTGTCCCTTTCGGGAGGTCGAGCCCGCTGAGATATGCGTGTCTGGTAATTGAAGAGAGGGGAGAGTTTCAAAGGGCTATTGTCAACATGTATAGCGTAGAGCACATAACAGGATCAGGTCGGGCAATGTTACAGAGAAAACAAGCTCAGATTCCACATGAACCGAGAGAGAAGACTCAAACTCAAGCATTACCGGTACAACAACTATGCACTTAAGACACTACTACGTTTACCTACAAGTCTGCACACATACAGTGAAGGCAGGTACAGTAGTCGGCGCAAACGTCCAAACAGACAGGCCGTCAGCAATTCTGACAAGCGAAGCTAAACTGAACCATGGGCCCCACCGTCTACCCCTCAGTCATGTGTCAGCCCGTTTCAGAGGCTCGTCTGGATGCCGAGTCTGTCACAGATAGCTGACAACAACAACACACACGCCGTCCTAACCAATTACAGATGACTTACACACCTACCCAATCACTGCCGCTCTATCCCTGAGGTGAGGCGAAAACTTTAGATGGCGACGGTGTCACCACAAGTTCTCCGGAAGGAATGCCGGGAGGGGTGAACTTTGACCACACTATAAAAGATGGAGGACACATGTGGTCTGTTTGGAAACTGGGGCGGAGCATCAGATTAGCACAGCCCTGATTAGCAATGAAGCGTGTCCTGGTCATTAGGGACGCATTACACGGACATTAGGCCGGTAAATCTCAGAGATAATCCCTGCGCAATATGGATTCTGATTGCGTTGGATTTGGTACAATGGAACAATGATAGTGTGTTGGATTGCTGTGCTAGAGCTCATGGGATAACATTCAGTAGTACATATCTCACACATGCTGCACATATGTACATATTCTTGGATACGCCTCTAACAATCATTAAGCAGCAAGTAGGTTATGAAAACACATTGACCTGTGCGGCAAATAAGCGACGCTTAGCGGGCGGATCGGAACTGCCGTCACATTCTTCTCAACAAAGATGCACTCCGATCCATGGCCTCCTCGAAAATACTAAAACAATGGATGATAAGCACGCCATTAAAAACGCATAATAACATCACATGGCACTGCTTCGTATTACGACGCGACATCAGCGCTATTTTCTCTTGATGCTCCATATGCATTAAAAATTGATAATGATAAATTCGGGCAACTCGGATGTAAGTAAATTCTAGAAGATAAACATTAGAGGTTCGTAGACATTTCGACACTATCAAGTTAGTATGATTCATAAGCATTTCTGTGGCATATGATTATCAAGCCTGTGCTACTTAGCGCTGTTTGATGTGTTAAAAATAACCTCATGTCGCTGACCATGTGGTTTTAGCCTATCCTAAGATTTGCGACTCGCCAATTATCCTTATCTCTAAGAACAAGCTCCTGATACCACACCCTTTGTAGTCCTACTCGTTAGTTCGCCCTCAGTAGGTCACATTTGTCTGTGCAGTAACCCGCGTGAGGTCGTATTTTACTGATTACAGAAGTGACCGGTCATCAAATAACTCTCACGTAAGTCGTATGTTTAAAGGTGGCTGGTGAGTGATGGCGTATTTATGGGCGGGCGATGCCAAGAAACGACTGCGTCTCGAGTTGGCAGGCAGTCGTTAGCCCATTTTATGGGTCAGAAATGGGTTCGAACCTCTTCATTACAAACGCAATAAATCAATCAGCGGTTTCCGCCAGTCACTAGGCCAGAGAAGTGACCATGACTTTTTTGGTCACTAGGAGTGGCCGCAGTGTTGAAAAAAATTTCCGTGAAACGATGTTGAAGTACAAAATCATGGCTAAAAGTCGATCGAAAGGACCAAGAATGAATCTGAGAAGTGGGTGGGACAAAACTTTGGTCTTGGTGGCTTCTTTTAGACACTAGTGCCTGATGACTCCTCATCAGGGAGATACTTCAAAGGTATTCTGAACATTTTAGTCGAGCCTGCCTGGCATACATGTATGGTGTACATGAAGGACATATGTACAAATAACAGCAAAAGAAGTCATCAAATAGAGCACAAAAAACGGGACTGTATGGAAAAATTGAAACACCAGAAGACTGAATGTGTCCCCTGGGAGAGACAAGAGGCCGGCTGACCGGGCCTTTTATTCCATTTTTGCCGTCAGGAATGTGGCCTGGCGCTCGGCAAACGTCATCAATCACCAGCTGACTTACCTGCAAACAAGGCGGTGATTTGTCAAACATGAGTTAACAACCCCGGCCCCCAGGACGTGTCATTCTCGGACAGTGGAGAGAGTTCGGGCATTGTTCCTTCAGTACCCACACAGTGCAGCTATGAATGTATTATCTAGGACACCTAGTGGATTGTACATGTTTGTGAGTTGTGTTCACTTCAACGGTAGGGCGCACTGTGGTGTCGAGTCAGCAGATTTCAGTAGTTTGTCTCTGCGGGTCAAGTACCTATAAAGATGTATGTACGAGGCTGTTGACTACTTCAAGCAATCTTTATGGCGCATTAACTGTAGTCATATACACACTTATTGTATTACAGTAGATGTTTTCAGCACTACTTGATGACTAACCGTTTAGAACTACGCCGATGATGTCGTGACGAGATGGCCATTATTTAAAACACACACATCTTTTTCCGACGGAAACAGGCGCTACGGACTATATTATATATATTCTCAGAATCCAGCTGACGTTAGACGCGTCATCTTACCATGACCTTAAGGTTCCCAGTGGAGTCTCCATTACCACGTCTTGACCTTGCAGCTGTTCTTGGGGATAAGAAGGTCATAGTTAAGACTTAGCGATAACGTCACCGAAGGGCATGTTGAATAACTCCGTCATTACTCCGGACGAAGTGGAGATATTGTCAAGGCCAGTGTATGTTCGTGCCTTTCCTTTTCAATGCCAAACAGATATTGAATCGGCACTTTTGTGGACGCTTTTCAACAGAAGCAGAAAAAAGGATTTTCGCGAAGGTTCATAAACAACATGCGTTATCCAAGAAACCATTAGGAAACTGAAAATAGTTCTATTGTCAGCATGGGGGCAAAAATGGCAACCAAATTCCCTAGAAATGTAACATGACAATCCCCATTTAACAGAAGGGTACTACCAGGTACGTAAGCACTCCGAAAACAGGATGTTTTGAAAGATTTTTGCGTGACGAAATTTGTGGAACACGCCTTAACAGAGGAAATGCTTCAAACATTGTCCTAACGAGACAAACAGATGGCCTCAGCTTTTACGTAACGTTAACTGATGAAGTGATAACAGGTTCACGTCACGAATTTTCCGGCTCGAAATCTCCTAACTGATCTCTAGATCTCTACAGATGATAGACATTCTTCGACCATGGAGAAATGTTTCTCGCACCACTTATGTTTAACGGCTATGGACGTCGTCGGTAAGAGAAAGGAACGAAAATGGTACATATTTAAGTGCCATTGCCAGCAATGGGCGAAGGGAGATCGATCTATAATCATAAGCCCGCTTTGGCCAAGAAAGAGCCAAAGAGATCAAGGAGATCTTCATGTTTCAAGACTACTGTCGTCATCAGAGAGAAATGAGAAACACGTAGTAACTGGTGTGATAGCTGCTGGCACAAAAACGCCCCCTATCGATATCATGGATGTGTTATTACACTGGGACACTGCTAGTATCCTAGTAATGCAATTACTGCAACAGAACAGAACAACAAAGAGATATATAAGTAGTTTGCAACATTTATACGTTGTGTACTCTGATATGACTCGTGCACAATGGCCGACTTCGGCGTGCAAGGAAGCAACGCGATGGACGTAGTTCTCGACAAGCGAACGTACTTCTACACTTGGACATACGAAAACCAGGTGACCCATTCTTTGACCTTTGTCCCCAAAGGTCAAAAAAGCATTTTATCGCAACCGACCGACCGAAACTTTGCAGGAACTCTTTGCTAGACACATTTATGATAAATAAGAGCTATTTAAAACCACCATGGTGCTGGTGGGAAGCGTGGTTCTGCCTCACGGTACGATGATTTTCGACGGTGACCCGAATTCGTCGAACGAGGCTTGTCGGCAGCGGCACGGCGCCCTGGACGACGGCATGAAAACGGCATGTTCCAATTTGTACAAAGGTTTGTGTTCTTGCGGGATGCAATAGAACCTCATTGGATGAACTGATCATAACGTTTGTTGATAGACACCTATCTACGACATAGGTGTTGATAGGGCTTGCTTGGTGAGGCCCTTATTTTGTGAAAAAAGGCCCTCCGTGTTGCTACATCATGTAACGATATGGACACCCGGAAGTGCATTTGAGGTCTCCTCGGTGCCATCCGATGGTTGGGAAAACAGGGCTCACATGCCGACATGGGATAGAGTAGTGGTGCAAGGAGGCCTCGAACACAGAAGCAAACTCCACTTCTTTATACCGCACTATCTCCCCAGGCATGCTGTCTATTTGGCCAATTTCTACTCTTTCCAGTCGCCTCTGAAGCCTAGAAGATGCTTAGCGTTTCCAGCCCGATTTTCATGGCATTCCTATAGCTTGCAGCTCTGCTGGTGAGGAGGTCAGCCGTATGACCCCTGACCTGGTTATCCTCCACACGCCACACGGTATCAGCCTGTCGAGGTCGGTGGGAGTGTACCTCAACCCAACCGCCGCGGGCACCGCGGAATGGAACGACTGCTGGGGCGACATCAAGGTACAGCCAACCGACTACTACTACTGTACTAGTTTTTATCGGAATATTCGGAATACATATAAAGAACACACTAACAAAATACAGAATTCTTTGATATATTAAAGTAAACTTTGTAGCTTGCTCATATTTCGGCATGAAATAATGTATATGTCAGGATAGAGATTGCGATCTTGTATTCTGCCAGCAGCGGTACAATGTGTAACGGGGAGTTTGAACCCATAAGCGTTGAACGCAAGCAGTGACCTGTAAATTGGATGTTTTGTTTTGCATGCAGCCTTCAACACGTTGCAGGCAATACCTATACGAAAGCAATGATTGAGATTTTGTTTCCGTAGCTGGAACTTCCGGTGGACAATGTATTGGCCAATCAACTCCTTGCCCACCTGAGCGACAGCGGAATAGACGCGCAAGGAATTTGCTGTTTCACCAACTACGACGCCCCATTGCGATGGGGAGAGGTAGTGCCGCTTTGGTTCATTCAAAAGAACCTGAAAAATCCAACCAAGTACCTGATAATAAGGTAATAAAATAAACAAAATCACCAATATTTTCCTGAAGTCTGGCATTGCAGTACTATGACAGACGAATACCACTGTTGTTAATTTATTATCTAGACTTTCTGAACATCAGTGCAGGGAGGGCTACGAGTGGGGGCAAGGATGAAGATCAGGGAGGGCTACGAGTGGGGAGGGGCTACGAGTGGGGGCATGGATGAAGATCAGCGAGGGCTACGAGTGGGGGCAAGGATGAAGATCAGGGAGGGCTACGAGTGGGGGCAAGGATGAAGATCAGGGAGGGCTACGAGTGGGAGCAAGGATGAAGATCGGCGAGGGCTACGAGTGGGGGCAAGGATGAAGATATCAGGGAGGGCTACGAGTGGGGGCAAGGATGAAGATCATGGCAATTCTGTACATACTGGAGTTTTGAACGTAGAATTTGTTTATCTATTTTTATATCACGTCTTATTCAGCCAGTCCCTGTTGCGGGGAGAGGAGGCGGTGAAACAGCGGGTGTGTTTGGGGCGGGCCCTGTCAGCGTTCGTCGACAGCCTGTCCGACACACGTGTGGTACTGGCCATCAGTGGGGACCTGTCCCACACCCATCCACACAGCTGTGACGACCCGCTGTACCAGCCCAACCCTCGATGGAACATCGCGGTGGACCAGGAAGCCGCCGGGATGTTTGGCAGGTGCACTGAAGGATGGGCCAAGTCTGCACCTACGGACCTGCTGACAAGTCCTGTTGAGGACATACAGGCATCGGGTAATGCTACTTTATTCTCTGGCATGATAGATATCCCAAAACTCATTTTCCCTAGAACTATCATAGAGTGGAACTCGTTGCTAAGAGCTTTAAACGTTTACAGGTAGAAGTGCAAAGATTATGTGTAACAGGTTCTTTGGTGTATAGCAAGCCGCTGCCGTGCGGTGTGTCTACAGAGTCGGTTTGTTATACTATATGAGTGCACGCGGTTATACCGGCTTTACATTGTCTGGTACTGACGTTAGTACCTAGTGAAATTTTGTCAATCTGTCTTAGCTGCATATAGCAATGACATTGAAAAATTTAAGGAAACATGGTCCGAATAATAGGTATGTGAACAGAGTAAGAAACTTTTGAAAGAATTTTTCGAATGTCGACTGGGGGTACATCTATTCATGATCTTTCTTTTCTGGTTGATGTTGATAACACAGGGGAGATATGGGACCCAGTTGTGTCGGAGCAGTGGTTGAAGCGCGCTGACGAGCTCCACCCAAAGGCCTTGTCGTGCGGGATCGGCGGCTTCTGGGTGCTTCACGCGATGCTGTACTCGCAGGTCGAGCGGGGAGTTAGCTTCTCACACAGGTTCCTGGCCCGGGAAGCGCCGACCTACTACGGCATGATGGTTACACTGTTTCTGAAGAGGCTATAAGAGAATAGCACGTCGGCAGAACGTACTGCACCTGCGCGAACCCGGCCGTAATGTATTAAGAAGCGATAAGAAGCAGGACCTGTACATATATAGTTTTACTATAGATATATTTTAGTCTACCATCGCTTATGAGGTTAACACTCCGTCTGTAGTTTCCAAATGTTATGTCGGAAAAGATATTGTCTACAACGGACAAAATTCTGATGCAATGTTGACGGAACATCCAACGAAAACCGTGAAAAATCAGGGTTTCGCACAGGCGCAGGAGTCATAAGTTCTGCCGGCGTGCTTAAGAGCATAGGATGTTTATACTCGACTCACTTGACTAGAACAAAAGTACTGTCTGTCTAAAATGGCTTAAAATCACTTCGCCTTACAATACCGTGCCCTTAATAGTAGATTAACAACCCACTGCTGGAGGCTCATAGAAAATAAAGTCCCTAATAATTGACGATCATTATTAAATACATACAGAATTTGTCTTAAAAGCGTCAAGGTATCTGAATTCGAAATATGAGTAATAGCACCACTATGCAATTCTTGCCTGTTTCTAGATGGTGGGAAATTTCAATGAGAAAATATTGAAACGCATCTGGAATAAACTGTTGTCGAGAGGTGCCTGTCTTTGTCTGAGTTGCCCTATATTTTGGAAATGATTGTATCGCTGTACCAGGGGCATCGTACTTTAGAAACAGATACTCCATGGAAAAACAGATTTGACGAGATTTCAGCCTACTTGAAAAGCCAAGAGGTGAGTTATATTTTTTTATTCATCCTTTTTTTTAAATTTAGATTGTGGAATTTGAAATCAAATTTGGTATATAGAATACAAAAATGTTACATGCGTATGAATTGTTACCATTACTCATAGTAGAAGCCCGAAGTTGTGTATATGACAGGATACGGCACTGCAGCTGACTACACAACGGACGACAGCGCCCTCATGCGATTAGCGAGGGGACGGCACTACACACTTTTCGGGAGAAAAGCAGACGTCCCGAACCGATGTAGCCTTTTATACTCGGTTGGAATATTATGTTGCATATCTAATCATTTCACAAGTCCACAAAGTAGACAAGATTGACTATTAGTACTGTATGTAGAGCAGTGTAATATTGTTCTTGATGCAATATGACAAGGTGTTTTCATTATAAAACTATCATCTGGGACAACTAACTTCCATCTACTAAACATCATAAAGAAAATATGAACATCATAATAAAACTTTTAATTTTTCATTATGATATTCATATTTTCTTAAAAGATCTAAGGGTGTATTTCTAACATAAAAAAGCTAAACAAGAACAGATCTAGAAAAACCATTGATAACTTCCCTTCTTTCTTTTCTTGAAATCAAATTCTTCCCTGCCTCTAGCTTTCAAATTTCATGAACCATGTGATAGACAAATGTGGTTACATGTGTATCTTCTTTTTGAATACTGAGGGGTAATACTAGTATGTCATGGGAACGTAGGTTATACATGTATATGTCATGTACAGTATGTTGTGTTTCAATAGTACTTTTCTTTCTACATTATCTTTCTTTCTTCCTCCCTTCTTTTCTCTAAATTCTTTCCATCTGTTCGTCCCTCCAGTTTCCCCGGCCCATGATGCATCCTGACACCTGTTACTTTCCCTTTATTCCTCCGGGAGGATAAAAATAGTGGGCGCGCGGGGCATTGTGGGTGCAGCAGGTTTCCAACATGGCGGGTGGGTATAAAATCTTTGCTTATTAGTCTGAACATTTTCCCGGTGTTACCACGTTCTGTGTCTACTATCATAGCTTAACATGGTGTGTTTCCCTTCCGTACCCCCTTGGAACGTCAGCGGTTAACTAAAAACTAACAGCCCTGCATCGGTGAAGCTATGTAAAGCGTACAAACAGACCGTACCAGTTGTCTGTCCCGAGCCTCAAAAATTCATAATGATTAAAAACCAAAATTATTTCCGGCAGATTTGTAGACCAAAAAGTCGAAGTTTTCGAACGCTTTGTGTCATCATATCTCTTTACCTAGCGGTAATTATTGTGTTTCGACAGAGGGAATGTATTTTACGTATTCCGTTGTAATTTTAAGGCTCGGTTGTACTAGCCGCATCGTCTGCCCCCCTCCCACCCTTTATTGAGTTTGGCCCAACACGTCACCAGACAGCTGCGGGCCGGAACAGGTTGAACCGGTAAAACACTTCTGTGTGTTTGAACTAAAACTGAGGACGGCTCGGACTAAATGATCAATAGGTACCCCCATAGGCAACAAATTGGTTCAAAAAGAATTGTTGATTGTTGGTGAGAAAAAAATAGGGATTCAGTGAAAACTGAAAGTTGATAGGGAATGGTTAGAATCAGATTTTCATTCAGCGGTAAAATGCTATTTAGCATAATAATCTCTGTACAATGTCCTTCTAATAATCAAGGCTGGTATGTTTGCAGAAGCCATTAAGTGATGTTATATAATCTCAGCGTTTTCCCCTTGACTTTTTTACCAGTAGTACATGGTTGTTTTTTGTTAAGCTGAATGTTTGGTTAACCTAAAACAAACGCTGTCAGTTTGACAGCCCATGTGTGACTATGATTTTGTTTTTGTCAAGTGGAGTGGATAATCTCTATTTATCATAGCCTTTGGGCTTGGGCTCTTCTGTAGAGTCTTAAGAAGTTTGCAGTGGTTTTGTTTTTGCGGTTCTTGCATTGGCCTCTCCTCTGCAAAGTCATGAGAGTTAATGAATATGTGCTTCACCTGCGATACTACTGTACTACAGTTTCAACTGAAAACTTACACTTCCTCAAAATCAAAAGCCCTGACTGTGAAGGTAATTATATAAATGATCACACATGTGTAGTAAGTGAATTACATAAAAAATACTTCTCTGAAGGACACATTACACTCAATCACTCACATTAATGAGGGCCTGCAAGCCCTTTTTCGTAAGGCGTAATCAGGCCGTTTTAGACTTCGTAATTCGTAGGCAGCCTCCGCAAAAATCAGCGTAATTCGTAATTGGACATTAGCCGCAAATCGTAAAGTCGTAATCAGCTCTGAAACTTTAACGTAATTCGTAATCGGCGGCGGAAATTTTGCGTAATTCGTAATCACTACCGCCCCTTGCAGGCCCTCATTAATTATGGCAATTAGCTAACTTACTTGTAAAACTGGATTCTAGCATTCTGCTGGCTTGTCTAAAGATAATGTAAAACAAGAACAAAGACAAAAGAATGGATGTGTCAGAGTCAAAGATCACTCAAGCATCTCAGAAAAAGTGACTGGTACAACGTGGCACCCCGAGCTACTAGCTATAGTAGTAGTTATTTGTACAAGTCAGTTTCCATCAGTAAGTCCTTATGTATACCCATGGCTACAAGTATAAGAATGAAGGCTGCATTGACATAGCCATTTCACTTCCAATTCTCTATTGGTTGGTTACGGTCGAACTTCCGGGGAGAAAGATAAATGAGGCAGGCAATAAAAACTATTGCCATCACGACAAATAATTGTACTTTTGAACTTGGGGTCAACATGCAGTAGTACAATACATGTAGGTGTGACAGGTTGCTGGGTGTAACACACAGCATTTACTGAAAGGTGCATGCAAGTTGATGTGTGATATCTAGAGACAATTATTCTGTTTGAGTCAGTTTGACATAAGCAGATACAGATATAGAACTCATATAGACTCAAGACTGAAATAGACCTGTCTGTAGCCAACATCTGTTTTCATTTGAACTACAACTTTGCCCCCAGTCTATCCTTTTTTTGTCGGGTACAACTCTCTAAAAACAATTTGTATGCTTCACACATGAACAGGACTCTTGATGCTATGTTTCAATTGAAAAGGGTTTCACAGCTGTTGTAAATCACAATTCACTTAAAGAGAACAATAATACTCAAAACAGGCATGTCTAGCAGACACTGTGTTTCCTAGTTAGGCTTGTATTTTACATTCAGTAGCTTTTTTACATTACAATCAATGCTGTCAACAAGACTTTGAATATTTACTGAGGACAAATATATCCCTATGTTAAGTAGGACTGAATAGGTATGTTTGTCTCTGGATTTTTTTTTATAGTGTGGGCTATACTGTATACATACATTTACATGTAGGTCTCTTACTGACTATGCATAGTCTGAATATGTAGTCCTGGATTTTTTGCCCCCACCAGCACTAAAAATTAACTGCCACAGTAAATTAGTTAAGCTACCTTGACAGTCTCTCATTTTACCCCTTGACTATACTATATTAGTATGCATAAACCCTAGGCTAGACTGAAACTTTTAAAACACAAGCTCCACCACAAATCAATTGTCGAGGCCCTCTTTGATGTTACGCATCCAGTGCTTTACCTCAAGGGCTTCTTTGGTTCTCTTATTTCTTTGAGAATCAATGTCTGGTGAAAAGGAGAGCAGTTTGTATAATGTAAGGTGGCTGGGCAGTAATTGATCTCTTTGGTACATAGCAACCAATCCATTGTGGTTGTCTGAAGTTGTCCTAACTTGTAGACTCTTGCATCAGCCAATGTTTGACATATCCTAGAAGAATGTCTGACTCAAGCTTTTAGTATGCAGATATCACCTTATAGCAATACAAATAGAAACAAATATTCATAACCCTCTGTCTGCTGAGGTAGCCTTTTTGTACCAAGTTCATGGTGGCACTGGGTTAAGGAGAAGGGAGAAGGTTAATCTTCACTTTCCAAGTAACAATTTTAGTACAATCTACTTCTAATGCTTTTAAACAGTTGGATTGCCATACATTAGCAACATGAGCTTTTTGATTTGCTAACTGCACATAATTTTGACACTAAAGCAATTTCCTTTCCCTCCTTGGTTGCATGTCAGATTCTACAAAACATGCAGCTGCTAACTCTGATAGTGGGAGTGGAGAGGCAGGCAAGGCATCAGATGGCAGCACTAAGAAAGGTCTGAACAATTCTAAACAATCATAGAGTTTCTAGAATCCCTCCTTTGCTAGCTCATATAGCTCAATCAATGCTACTTTCCTGATCACTTCCCTACGGAAGAGATAGTTTAACTTGCATGAATACGTCATCAGGGTTGCGAGAGACTCATAGTACAAGAAGGCTCTTTATTCAAAATTTCACATCCAACATTTCTGTGACTGCCTATCATGATCATCTTCTTCTGGCCAACATTGACCGGTTCTGATTTTCACTTCAGACTGGACACACATTTTGGTCTGATCCAAAAAGTTGTATAATCTATTTTTTCTACCACAATGTACTTGCTTTCCTCTGCTGTAACATAAGTTCACTTGTTCAGTATTTATTAGTTACATGGCCCTCTGTGCTACAGAAAATGTCACCAGTCCTGTAGATGTTATAACTAGCAAGTGGTAGGTATTGTTCTAACTTATATACCAGTACATACTTTTCTGACTACTGTCTGAATGTATTTCAATCAACTAACTACATTTGTGATACAGTTTTATAACCTGTCTTCATTTTCTGTTCTTGAATTAGTTTAGACCCCAATCTATCAGACAGAATATTGGTTAGAAGTGCCAGTAGCCATTGATACCGGTATACTTCATCATTCTGGGGACAACGTGTAGACAAAACAGTGTGATCTGATATGCTTGCCTGTGAACTCAATTTCTATCCAATTGACTGGGGATGTTAGTCACGTTTTACACATTACAGTACCAGACTAGTGCAGACACTTGTTATACATATCATTATGAAAACAAATTCAAATTTGTAACATGTATTTATCAATCTTCCATGTTTGTTTAGGTAGAGAGCTTGTCTGTTCTGAATTTGTACGAAAATTTTCTCAGGTTAAAATCCTTGGAACCCACCAAATTCCTTATCTTCAATCAAGTAACCTCCTGCCTATGGCATGGCCTGTCCTTGGCCTTTTTTCTAGAGTACCACATGTGCACAATGTGACAATTAACCTTTACAAAACTAAAGTCTCGAGTTGGTTACAGCCTTAGGCAGCAGGGAGAAGGTTAAGCAAGCATTATAACTTAATATAAGTCTCTGTTCTCCCCCAGGCCTGTTACATTCACTATCTACAAATGTACCTTTAACCCTCCCTCTACTTCTAATCTTGGCTTTTTCATGCTTTAGTTTTACTGGTTACAACATGGCCATGCATACGGGTGAAGTGGATGATATGGATGATGCATATATGTCCTGTTATGGGAAAGACGATAGAGATGTTTTCCTTGCTTGGCCACAATTGACACGTACAAAAGGACTTTCATATTATTTATAGGACTCGTCACCTCACCTTCGAGTTTGAATGCCCGGTGAACAATTTTGCCCGGTGCTTTCTGCTCGGAATACACCTGCATATAAATGCAAGCTAGTGCAGGGAAAATTGCACTATATTTCTGCACTGGTCCAGTTGCTGGGTACAAAACATAATCAAATGTGTACTAACTGCAGTTCATGTTCCATTGCAGAGGGGGCGTCAGTGATATTCAAGCTGTACTGCCTGGCAGTGCTGACTGTCATGGCGGCGTCCTACACGGTACTGATGCGGTACACCAGGACAGTCGAAGGCGTACGGTACTACTCCACAACCACCGTCTTCGTCACAGAATGCGCCAAGATGTTTTTCACGCTATGCATCCTCCTCAAAGAGCACAAGGGCAGTATACGAAAAGTTTCACAGGAACTGAAGGGGAACATCATCGGGAAGCCTACGGAGATGTTGAAGATGAGTGTTCCGTCCATCGTGTATGCCATCCAGAACAACATGACCTTCATTGGACTCAGTAACCTGGATGCAGCAACATACCAGGTATGGGCTTTCAATTCTGGGCCAAGATACTCTTAAATGTAATATTTGAATGAAAGCTATCTTCATGCGAGTAAATAATTTCATAAGAGTAAATAATTCCAAGTTGCATGATTTCAAGCCCTGACCATACACAATCCAGGCGGTTTAGCTGGTTTAAGATGCTCAGTGCACAGAAAGAGATGTATATATCCTGCTTGTAGTACTGTGATTAGTATACCTTTAGATGACTACCATGTATTAAACTTAATTTTACCTTGAAACTGTTTTGCCAGGTGACATACCAGATGAAAATCCCATGTACGGCCCTGTTGTCTGTGATGATGTTAGGGCGGAGTCTAGGCGGTATGCAGTGGATCGCCGTTTTCGTTCTGACGGGTGGCGTCATTCTTGTGCAGGTAATAAGCCTATTGCTACCAACTTTCCTCTTTGTGTTAACAGGTTGTGTACAAGAAAAATGTAGTTTTCCTAGAACTTCCACTGTATTGTACTATTCGTAGAGTTGAGCTTGTTGAGTAGTAGGGGCACTCTCACTAGAAAGCCTTAACCTTCAGCCAGCTTTGGCACCAAATTTGTATTACCGGTATGGGGTTAGGCTGCGGAGAGGTTAAACAACACTTGCAGTTAGATATACAAAGGTTGTAACAGGTTTGTTATGCTACGGTATGTTACGGTTTCCCTGACTATATACAAATACAGAATGAGTGTAAATCAGTACATGTATATGTAAATACATGTACTACCGGTATATTTTGCTGCAGGGCATTGGAGGAGAGGCAGTGAGCCATACCTCAGGTACTGACGGGAACTATGTAGTAGGCCTGACTGCCCTGACTATTGCTGTCTTCTGCTCAGGATTTGCAGGTTTGTGAAACTCAGGAACATTAATATCATTTTTTCTTGTAGATTCCTGATTTGCTCCTCTATTATCCATCACAATTTTTTCCGAGATACTTTTGGTAAGAGTACAGTACTTGAAATTATTTTTTAGGCGCAGGTATGTAGACATCAGAAATAGCTGCAGTCCAAATTTTACCTGCACTAACCTGCATATACCCAGTACATGGACTTATACAGGTTAGGTGCAGGTAGACAATAGAAATAGCTGTACAGTGCCAATTTTACCTGCACTAACCTGCATATGCAGGTGGTACTTCCAAGTAAGAAAAAATGTGTTATGGACAGTATGGAGTTAGGATGCTTAAATGACAGTGAATGGGTTGCTGTGCCTGTCAGAGCCCTGCATATTTAACCTCACCCATTGTTTTACTACCTCTCTCTCCAGGGGTTTACTTTGAAAAACTGCTGAAGGGCTCGGACACCTCACTGTGGGTGCGGAATGTCCAGATGTACTCGTGGGGCATGCTCAGTGCCTTCATGGGTGTGGTCATGCACGACTGGCAGAACGTCAGGGAAAACGGCTTCTTGTACGGCTACACACCCCTGGTCTGGCTCGTAGTCTGTAAGTACAAGTGTAAGGCAGTGGTAGTGACCTCTACATATCTGTTGTAGTTTAGTATAATGTAAAACCACAGACAGCTTCAAGCAATTGTGTTGTGCTATATATCTCATCCTACCCACCCCTTGTGTGGCTTATTGTCTGAAAGTATGAGAGTAAGGTAGCTGTAGTGGCCTCTACATGTCAGTTAGTGTTAGACCACTAAGCACTTCAAGCAGTTGCATGCATCTGATATGTATATTTTGCTGTTCCCCAACAGTGCTAGGCAGTGGCGGTGGCATCTACACATCCATTGTAGTGAAGTACACCGACAACATCATGAAAGGCTTCGCGGCAGCTGCTGCCATCGTGTTGTCTACCATCGCTTCTATCATGTTCATGGGTCTGGTCGTCGGATGGATGTTTGTCCTGGGCGCGAGTCTCGTCATTGCCGCTATCTTCATGTACGGCCTCCCCAAAACCAACACAGAAAGACTCCCCACTAAGAAAGGGGGCACAACACAAAATGTGTAAAGACACCTTGTGGTAGTATCCAGTACTGCACCTATATCAGTTTATGACATCATTCTAATTTGTTGGCTCCTAACTTTTGGAATTTAAATATTTTTTCTTAGTAATTTAGTGGGTGAGATTGGGAATGAATGCAGGATAATTTTTGTTGTTGGTCAATAGGGCCAAATCCATCTAATCAACTTTTTAAAAGTGTCACAATACATGTATTGGGAAAAGAGATGTAAAAAGTTGAGGATGTGATCATTTTCAACAGGATATCGAGATTTTTTAGTTTCTCTTTTTGGTTAGATGGCAGCTACTTTAGAGACAAAATAAAGGGGCTTTGCAGAAAATTCATTGAAAGAGAATTTTAACCTTCTCTCTGCTGATGGAACCTACATGTATTGGCACCAAAAACGTACGGTTACAGGGTTAGGCAGCAGGGAGAGGGTTAACAAAACTTGTAGATTGTACAAACTCTGGTTGGGTTGCGCATGTAGATTAGCATTTCTATGTATGATAAATTGAGGTGGCAATGTGGTTACTGCAGTAACTTCTTTTCAATATTCACAAAACTGAGATTGTGGACCACTTTGTGTAGTAGCATTGCATAGAAATATTTCACAGGCACAATAATATATGGTATATATATATATATATATGATATAGATTGGTGCCTATACTTTGTATAGTTAAGAGAGTGTGATAGTTTGTGCATCAGCACACTAATGTATGTAGTTTTACATGTTAGGTAATAGGAAATCATGATGACCTTTTAACATTATATGTGTTGGGGTCATCTTTTCCTACCTGAATTATGATTGTCCAGAATTATCATTTTTGTACTTTACAAAGATTGAAGGTTTGACATACATGTAGCATGGGAAAAGGTGGGTAAAGGTGTAAAGCAGCAGTTGTATCAAACATGTACTGTCAGAACACAACATCAACACCTTTTTTTTTCATCCAAATGTCAGGTGTAATGTACAAGAAATCTATCACTTGACAATTGAAATACACAAATATGTATGTCCATATGATGGAATATTGTGTAATTACAGATAATTACAGTAGCCCCTTTCAGAAATGTTATTTTTGCTTTGGGTACTAGCCATTACAACTTTATACAAACATGATTTTAAGATCTGCAAATGTAGCTGTTACAATGAACGCAATCCAAATATAGTTCTTTTGTATGCCGGTATGTGCTGAATGTTATAAACTGCTTGACTGGGGCTGCACATTTTTTTTTAATGTGACATCAAGATTTAGGTGCAATAGAGCTAATTCTTGGAGCTTGTTGGATGAATGCAGTGCAATCCATGTAAAGAACACATTGAAGGGAACTATAAAACTGTAATAAAAACTTAGGATGCACATAATATATTTTGGTACTCTGCACCAGACTAACTACATTGGCAGAAAGATAAATTTAGCCAAATAGGGAGAATGATTTGTGAGGTTTCATTTTGCTTGCCACATGCTCACTCTCCTTGCCAGTTGTTCTACAAACATTTCCATATCACTTTTGGGAAGCCTTGTGGAGGTTTTCATTTACATCAAACCGGCTGAATTGTACATGTAATGTAAACTTGGACAATGTCTTAAGTCAACTCACTTCACTACACAAGGACACATTAGGAACTTTCTGGGCTGTGTTGTATAAACTTATTATAAATATATAACAACATATTTTGGCAGATGCAATTATGTTTACTGAACTGAAATCATTAAAGCAAGGAGAGACTTGCTGCATAGATTATGCATACTAATTAATATGCACATTAAGAGATTATGATTAAATTCATCATAAGGTTGTGAACTTCTTGTTTACAAAAGGAGCCTGATACTGTGTAAAGTACACTGCCTGTCAAACTATCACAAACATTTTGTATGTCATAATCAAGAAACTCTACAGTTATTTCTTTGTTACCAACAACCTACATGTTTAGGGCTTTGCCTACAGCCATGACAGCAGTATTATTCATGTTTTAGTATCCTGCTGTTAACTTCCAGTCGGTGTTAAGCAAAGTCCAAAAATAGATCCAGGGTAAAAGCTAGACTTACATGTACAAACACGTACCAAGGATCACCCCACTGGCACTGTACTCGTAAATACATTGTTAGAGAAGCTGTATTTTTGTGGGAGGTTGTACTTGTAGAAATCGTCACCTGTAATAAAACTTTCAAAGGTTATAACGTCTGTACTTTGTGGTTGTTCATTATGAATATAATTTTGGCCAGAAAAATAATGGAACACTGGCATTTCTAAATGTTAGATCTGTAATGTAAAAAAGTTTATAGAAAATATCTTGAAATGTAGCACATCAAGAAACTCTGGATATATCTTTATTTTCATTCCCGTAATCTATGAATTGCTACTTCTAACTCAAGGAAGACCCCTGAGAACCTAATTTGTGACATCACTGATAGTACATCTTCAAAAGATAGATGGGTATTAAAAACTATAAATCAGTCAGCCATCTTCAGTCGAAATAGCTTACTCTTGTTTACATGTTCAAAATATTTTTTAAGACAAGTTAATGTAACTCCTTCCCAGGCCTCCCTTTTTGCTATTGGCAGCTGTATGTGTTATTTTACTACATATAGATAGAATTCAGATAAAAGGTTTTCTACTGACCAATAATGTAGTTGTCGAAATTCTTTATAATGTTGTCAAATTCAAACCTAATGTCCCATATACATTTTGTAATTTTTTTATTTCATATTTCCTCTGTTTTTAATGAAAAGGGACAACCAGTCTTCTAGAGGGCCAGTAGGTTTTTTTCGTAATTTCAATTATGGTAGACCTTGTCGAGATATGTTGAGTGCTGAATGTGTCCTCCAAGGAAAATTTTGAAATCTTGACCCTCTTAAATTCTTATTACCTGCATTTTGAGGGGCAAATTTTGTTCATGTCTAAGCTTAGTTTATTAACATCTCTTAACAACATGATTTTTGTTCATGAAAGATAATGGATTGGGCAAATTTTCTGATCATCATGAGCAGCAAAATTCTGCCAAATGACGGAGACACAGACGCTGGCTAAAACACTGAGGACATGCAAGCAGAATATGTTGTTATTCCTGCATGGGTTGGTCTCCCTGGTCCCAGGCAGCCTGGACCTGCAGCACCTCACACTGCAGGGTCCTGAGGTTAACCAGCACACAGGACTGAGTCTGGCAGAACTTTGGAACAGTCACCAGCAGCGCCCTCTGTCCATCAGCACCTGAACAACAGACTGGGGTCAAGTTTAAACTGTACAATTGGACTCTTGTTCCAACACAAAGGGTTGTTCTCACCTAGAGCTTTTGACCAGTCACTCTGATATTCCTAAACTGACCCGGTGAGACTTGGAACAAAGGTTTTAACTTTAAACATGCAACACAGATGAACTTTCATGATACTAGTAGATTGGAGTTAAATTTACATTGTGTATACATGTACATGCATACTCAGGATTTTTATTCCATTTTTAGTTTCTTCAAGAAATTACAGCTTCTCATCTATGTGTGTTTAGAGAAACTTCTTAGACACGTCCAAGCTTAAAAAGCTGTATGACCTAATTTTGTAGTCTTGAAGTCTTACCTTTCAAAATCTTGCTTTGGAACTTGCCCTGGTTGCCTGCAAAGTACACGTGGGGGCAGCTCTCCAGGATGAACGGATCAGAGTCATGAAATGGATAACTTCCTACATGGGTAGAAAAGGACTGAAATTTGTACATGTAAACATTAAAAAAACTGTAAATCTTTAGAGACTCATAACCTTTCAGAGACCTTAGGGTCACTGGGTTGTGTTAATCCACTGTGTCTAAGGCACAGTACTGGAAGACAAGGCAGATCCCTCTCCTTCCTTCGTCTTTGACCTCCCCAACCGAAATCAAGAACCCATTTTACACCTGGGTAGTATGTTAAGTGCCTTTCTGTGACTCCCAAGGACACAATATCAAGCCAGAAATAAAACCTGTGTCCTCTCGATCACATGTGATGCACTGACAACACATATACATATGAAGTTTGTCCTTTGCTAAACCTAGTAAAAGACCACTACAAACAAAAGGACATGGGCTGTACAGTATGTCCTCCACACTAACCTAATGTGTCAGGTGCAGTTGGTGCGATGTGTCCCACAGTCAATGTTTTCTCCAGAATCTCTAGTGAGTTCTCCAGACTGCTGTACTTGTAGATGTCATCAACATTCTGTCCAGATGTCCCCAGAAACCTGTAAGGAGAAGCTTTTTTTAAACATTCTTGTAGCTTGTGTTTTCATGTGGTTAGTGGCTCAGTGCTCCTGGATCAAGAGGTTGTGTGTTCAAATCCCAGCTATTTGTTGCTCACCCTTAAGACGGGATATTAAGCAGTGGTCCACTGTTCATTCTATTTGTCGAAAAGAACACAGGGAATTTCTCCAGTACAGAATTCTTGTAATCCTGCAGATTTTATTTCTTTCTATATGCCTTTAAAGATCCCCAGCATCCCTGACACCTGGAAATTTTCTACACTCCTTTTAAAGACCCCTCGGGCCCCTGAAATTCTCTAGACTTTTTCCCTGAAGACTATGATTAAAAGGTTATTAGCGGAGCATAATCAGGCCTTGTTACAGAAGAATTACTCAATGCTTTTTCAACTTGAACAATGGGGCATTTTCTCACCTGATCCCTCCAACGTCTGCCTCGTATGGGTTGGGAACAGTGTGCATTGTGGGATACTTCATGGCGCGAGGGAACATGCAGCGGTGCAGCGGCTGCTGAGGAAGCACGTGATTGGCCGGGTCGAAGTCTCCTGGCATCAGGTCAACGTCAACACAGGACTACAAAAACAAAACATTTCTGAGTGGGAAAGAAACTCCCAACACAAGCATATGCTACATTGTACAAACTTGTACTTGCTCAATTTCAGTTTATGTTATGTTGATGATTATGTTGTCTAAAACCACTTTTATTTGACCATCAAGAGAGATGTATGATCTAAATCAAAGTACAAACTTCACTGCTACCAAAGTTAATATTCACTTTTACATGAATACTCAGCTAGCTCAAATCAAAAGCATTTGCCTTCATTTTCACAGAAAAAATAATAATCTAGACAGCTACAAAATGTACTTACTGACAGCTGAGCAAGAAAGTCATCTAAAACTTTCATGGCTTCCACACTTCCAGCTGCAGTTTTCCTGGACAGATACTTTGCCTGAAAACCATACAGAGAAGTAAGTGTGTACTAGCATTGGTCAATACTCATTACTTCTTAGTACAGAATTGTATTGGGTGGCTCAGCTGTGGGTGTGTGCGTCTGTTTGCCTGGACAGAGTAGGTTGACAGCACATGGGTGAGGGGGAATATTAACAGACTGAAAGACATGTCAAAAGGTCAGACACAGGAAACCCGAAAGTCCTGGGGAAGTCAGGACATGGGGGAATTCGAGGAAGCCAATAAGATTGCATAAAGGACCATACGAAAAACTTCTAGGAAGTCTGAAAAATGAATGTTTTTGGTTGTAAAATGTGAACATGCACATTCTACAGCATGAAAAGCAATGTGCTTCTTGTGTACCTTTGTTAATGAATCCTTGTCCTGTGTGGACTCGTTAAGAGAGTTTCCAGCCATGATGACCCTGACAATATTAGCTGCTGACTTCTGGTCACCCAGGTCTCCTAGCTGCCCGGTAATCAAGTCCACCAATAGCTGCAGCGCTAATAGATTGTCTTGGCTACTGCCAATCCCGAGGCTCGACACAAGCACAACAAACCTGAGACAGAGGAAAACACACCTATTAAGTCTTCACTTTTGCCTCAAAACTTGACCTCCCTGTAAACGCAGCCTTTTTGTAAGATTTGACAGAGCTGACAAAAGAGAACAAAGGCTCAAACAAACCTCCATCCACCTATGACAAAATGTAGAAATGCAAAATAAAAACATGAAAATGCAAATATTTGATGGACATGCAGCCACTCTCTCATTGGTCAAACTGCTAAGTGAAATGCTGTAATTGGTTGCACTGCTAATTGTGATGGACAGTTAGGATTGGTCTATTGTAATGAAGTAAGAGAGGTTTATAATAACCTGTCTTCCTCTGGTGACTGTACTGAGTTCTGTACAGGCAGATCTGCATAGCAGAAATCCTTCACCTGGAACCTACCAGACTCATCTTCTGCTCCGTACACTGCCACAATAGTACCTACACATCAAACAAACAAATTCAAAAAGTCACATTGTAAGGCTGACATATCAACAAATACACAGCAAATACCTACTCTCCAAGCAGAGGTTGTGGGGGAATGATCGTTAGCTTTTTACATATGGCCCTTTTTTTTGCTACCCCCACCAACTTGGGTCACTCATAGACCCTCTCTGGCCAATTGGATACTGCCTAACCAATTTGATACCCTTTTTTTGAGACCCTAGGGTCTGCTTGGAGATTAGCAAATACCGATTGCTTTTGAGTAAATAGATGTGTATATTTTTGCAAATTTTCAAATAGTTTTCAAATAATTGTTTGTACCTGCAGGGCTCGAAATTAACATTGTCCCAGTGTCAAATGACACAAAATTTTCAGCTCGGGACAATTCAAATTACATTTCGGGACAATTTTGGGGCAATTGGAAAATTCTGAGACCATCCAAGTCATTTTGGAACGGATCCATCATTTTGGAACGCGAACTGGTGTGGACCGCTGGCAGCCAATAATAGTCTGACAAACAATTAAAAAAATTATGATAAACAAATAAATTTGACCAATCAGGGATTCCAAATATCGTGGAGGGGGTCCTCAAAGATGGTGCTGTGCACATGATATTATCATGCATTTCCCTACCTATACTAATAAAGTGGACTTCAGGTTGTACCAATTCAGCTGTTGTTGTTTTCTTATTGTTATCACAAACTTATTTCCTGAAAAGCAGGCTGGGACAGTCCATCTTCAGTTCGGGACAATTGAAATCTATATTCGGGACAATTCTGGGACAGTAGTAAAAAAAGTTAATTTCGAGGCCTGACCTGTAACAGATGTTTGAACATCCAGCTTTCCCTCCAATGAAACTCTTTGTACTTCATCCTCTAAGATCAAGTTATCAGCATCTTCTGTGTACTTAGCCCTGGCTGGCTGGGGCATCGCTCCCTCCTGAAAAATACAGTGTGTTTTTTTTTTTGTTTTTTTTTTTGTGGATGTGTGTGTGTGCGTGTGTGTGTGTAAATACAGTAACAGGAGATACCTATGTGGCATCACATCGATACAATCTATCTGATTCTACTTTCAGTAATGTGCATCCATGTACTAATAACATTGACTCACTCCATGAACTTTATTTCACTTGTATTTGTGTTTTGTTTCCCAGTGTCATGGGCTCCATTGGGAATCAGCCCTATTCAGCTATTAAAGTGACAACCTAAATGTATCCAAGAATTAGATTGATAAATAAAAAATGAATGAATAAACGCAATCATTCAACTACATGTATGGCTGTCTGCTTGCCCTGACCTCCTCACTGATGTCCTTGAGTATGCTGGGTTTGAGCTCCATGTGTTTGAAGAGTGTGCCGATCACCACACAGGTTTCCCCTGAGTCCATCTCTGATAGCTTCTTGATGCACACATCATCGCCTGTAGGGGAGGGGGAGGGACAAAATCTAAAATAACTCAACAAGAAATTATAGATTTCAGGTTTCATGAGCTTATTTTTACAACCAAGGTGGTCATAAAGACTCATATGACATACTAGTACTCATATCAGGACTAGGACAGAAACTTAAAGACAATGTTGGAGGATACCTTGGCTTCCTAAATTCCCCTCATAATAGTCATATGTCGACATCTAATTCTTGTTGGCTCTAGGACAATATGCTAGGACGTTCAAGTTCACCCCATGTCCTTAATTTGGCCTGTCATTATGTCATATCTACCTTAACAAAACATCAAGAGACCTTCACTAAAATGATATTCCTCACTAAATTATTATTGCTGATCAAGTATGATTGATGACAATTCAATCATATGCCAGGATATAATTGTCCCCTCTCCCCCACGATCTACCTTGACAAGTGCACCTTATACGGGTGGTCACCTACCCCATTTTCTCTTCGCTGCCTCCACAAGTCTGGCCTTCATTGCCCACAGTCTGACGGCGTAGATGTGTGCATACTGTCTGCCAAAGTTCCGCTGCTCCAGCACAAACCGACGGGAGAGGTTTTCGTACGAACACTGGGCTCTTTCAAACTGTGCCATCTCTCCCGTGGTCGGCCCTTGCAAGAGAGTGCCCTCTTCGTTTGGGTCCTTGGAAAACATGTTTGGCAAAGGCTGAGGCACTTGATACAAAACCAGTAAACTCTTGAGACGGCTTGCTAGCTAAAGAATTATCTAAAGGTGACCAAGGAGAATGACGTCGATGTTTAAAAGTTTATAACGATGAAGGCCTCAACTTGACGGCTACATGCTCGATTTTCCCGCCATCTTGGTGTTGACGTCACAAATCTCGCGATAACTAAGCCAAAACTCGCGCCACACGAGACTATGACGTCAGAGAAACCCATGATGCAACGCGAGGATATCGTGTTGCGTCACTGTTTACATCAGGAAAAGGAAAGCCTTTGTTTTGGTTCGAGTGCTCGGCACCAAATTCGGCGATTTCAGCCTGAATTTGGCTTGATACATGGCACAACACATCGAGAGGTATTGAAACGATGCTTTGACAGACCGAGGTAACGTGAAGTTCAGAGAAAAGCACAGAACGGGTGAGTTCTTAACGTTTTGTGTAGTGTTCTGTCTTTGTTTACTTTCGGCAGCTGGAAGTATGGAGGTTGGTGGTGGCGCAGTTTTTACGCTACAGTGTGCTGTAGCCTTTGATTTATACACTAATCACAGATTTGCACGTATTTTCATATAGCAACACCATTTGAAAAATTCAGTGCCAATTTCAAATGTGTACAATGACGAAGAAATTAGGGGAGGATTTGAGAAAACAGTGCTGCGTGGCGCCAAAATTAATTACCCATCTTGGGTATCGAATAATTTTCTCGCTGTATTTCATGATCCTCAAGTGATTGCATCATGACAACAGAAGAAGACAACTACAGGACCAGTCTTGAATACACAGTGATTCAAATGGGAAGTTTGTGAACTGTTACAAAGGTTTTAAACCACTCGCACGTTAGGTAACGGTTTAAACTGCGTGTACCAGCCATCCTTTGTTCATTCCCAAGGGACTTGTCTGTGGACTTACCATGTTGGGACGTTAATGCAAACCAGTGACTGTTTCTATTATTAGGTACTTACTTGTTTTGTGGATGAATGATAAATGAATCCCCAAAATATTTTTCTGTGTGGGAAAAACAATTAAAGCATCAATGCAAGTTATTAATTTAGTAGCCATACATATTTTTTCACACACAAAACTGCAACTTTCGACTTTGGAAACCTACAGCTAAACCACTCAGAAAAAAAGACTTATCATTTCTTAAATATTAGGCTGATTTTTTTCATGATTTTCGTCACTTTTGCAAATGTCTCTGGATACAGCCATAATTCAATGTGTATTTCATAAGACAACAACTTTATAAAGTAAGTGAATTTTTTTCCTGCTTGGCCAATGTGGTGGGCATGTTTGCAAGCATGGATTGACACCCGGCAGCTACTTTGCACACTCCAGTGTTAGTCAACAGATGACGATCTTAAATCAGTCACTTGATTTGTCCCAAGTCATGTGAGTTGACTGGTACAGCTGAGATCCAGATTTTAAAAGTGACAATGTGTCATATCATCAAAGAACAAACAAATTCAAAATATGCCAAAAAGAACTCAAGCAACTGGATATTATTTGGGAAAGTCATATCCAGTTGCTTGATTAACTGTTTTTTGGCATATCTTATTACCTGGATGTCTAACCTTCACCGATGTAAAATTCAAAATATTAAGATATCAAATATGATATCAAAACATCCTAATGATTCTAGTTTATTTGCAAGCAAATATGAAGTGAAAATGGCACCGGAAGTGGGGTGAACATGATAGAACTGTCCCATGTTTGCCAGCACATGGGTGGGGGAGATAAACAAGAAGAACAGAAGATCAGACTGAAGAAATGGGGGTGAACTTGAATGCTAAAAAAATGCTTGAGTATTTCCAGAAGTTTGAAATCCCAGATTCTTTTGTTTTTTTCAGAGTTGAAGCATGTTCCAGATCAGTAATCGGCTGGTCCAGGCGCACGAGGCCTCGTCACCCAGGGAGCACCTGGAGGAGGAACACGTCCGTGCCGGGAGGGACGGGGAGACGGGCTTCGTCCAGCGAATCAGGAACCAGCGCGGGTTGAACAGCGGAGATGTCTTCTGTGGCCTTAGAGTTCCCGACGAGTTTCAGACAAGAAAACATGAGATAGATGTGGTAGTTTTGACAGGTGTGTATCTAACGTTACATGTAGTCAAGAGGACTTTATTTTATTTTATTTAATTCGATTGCGACGATACAATACACTGGCCACCCAGGCAGCTAGCTGATTTCGGGCGCCAAACAATACAAAGATTAAACATACACAATAACATACATGTACTAATACAGTAAACTAACAAGTAAAGATTAAGCTAAAATCAATCAGTTATCAATATAAAATACAACCAAGCATAATAAAGTACTCAATCAAGATAATAATAGCAATTAATGTTTTGGAGGTCAGAGGTCAAGGCCAATTGGATATAATACAGTATGTGAGGAAATATATACATGTATAACGTAAGATTATAAAAGGTTAACTTATAGTGGTACCACGGGAAGGGCCATCTAAACGTTTTGTGGTGGAAATAAATGTTTCAAATGCCTCAAATAGTTGTTTGTTTGTGTGCATGTTACAGCCTGGTAGCCCCTGTAGTAGAACAGATTCGGTTAGACGGTGTGATGTGAGTTGCTCTACTGTGGAGGTTAAAATGTGACGCTGGCAGCTGTAAAGAGGACAGCGTAGCAAAAATAATGGGAAACAGTCTCAGAAGAGGTACCACAGGAGCACATTTTGTCTTTGATATTCATCAAGTGCAAGGTGGCATTTAGTGGGCTCCAGTCCATTCTTAGTCTTGCAGTTAGGATGTTGTAGTACCGAGTACCTAGACGTCTGTACAGCTGGTTATGTCTCGGAGTGAACAGGTAATCCTTGCACTTTCTCTTGAAGTCGTTTAGGCTGCTGGCTTCCTTCAGTGCCTGTGGAAGGCGGTTCCAAAGGGTAGAAGCATGTGGAATAAAACTGGACTGGTACACCTTCGTTCTACAGCGGGGAACATGAAGATGTGTCCAGGAGTTTAGAGGACTTTAGAGTACAACAAGTTTATTTTTCAACCATACTTTCTTGTAAATTGTTAGATACTGAGAAAAAAAACTATAAACAATGGCTACTTCAGTGTGCTAAATGTTTAAAGGCCTAATATGTAAAGTGGGACCAAACTTATATGGTGTTTTTTCCCCACACAGCACATGGTGTTTACTGTATTGAGGTGAAGAACTGGTCGGGTGAGTTGGAGAAGAGCCAGGATGGGAGCTGGATACAGAAGAGACTGTCGGCCAATGGGAAGGGGAGAAACGGCACATCGGTTGATTACGTCATACAGCACAACAACGTCGTAGCAGAACTTAAGGTTTGCATCTCAGCTAGCATCAGCTGACTAATATGTATATAACGTTATATATGTATATTTTGAAAACACATGTAGATTACATTCTGTGAGTCAGATTGCCCATGGGCTAACTATGAACAATAGAGTATTGTAGTAGTAATTTGTACATGTATTGGACAGGGCAAATATTTTACTAGACAAGTTAGTCAGAGTAGGCCCAAAGGCAAGCAAGACTACTAGTATTTTGGTATGTCATACTACTTGAAATATATATTAAAAGTTACATATTCAAGTATATTGAATCTAGTTAGGCTAATACATACTGTATTTGCTCCTTTGTATTGCATTCCTCAACAATATATCCCATAGCACATGTATTAGCGTTACTAAACCTTAAGTTGAAATAGAAGCATTCAGCCTTGCCTGTAAGAAAAATTTAAAAAGTCTTCTTTTCTGTATATTGAAGAATTTTTTTAGCAATTGAAATGTTATGTATCTAACACCAGGTTAGGACAAATCTACTAAGAAGTCACATGTTGCGGGCAGGCTGTGGGTTGAAACAGAAGTACTTCCACTCCCGTGTCGTGTTACTGAACCCTCACCTCCGGGTGGAGGACAGCATCGTGGCGGATCCCGACGTCGTCATGTACGACAAGTGCGAAGAGTTTATCGCATCATTCCAGCAAACGTACCTTGGTATGATAACGGACGCTATCTCTCCAGCTTTGATCACAGGTAATTATGTTTACTGAAGAAAAACATATTGTTTTTGCTCAGTTTCTTCTTCTTCTCCAAACCAATAGGTCAATGACCTGAACCAGACATCTGTCACTATGGTAACTAGTGTTGGGTTACATCATGGTGCAATTTTATAGCAGGAGGGATTTAGACCCCTGTCTGACAATATATATGAATGTGTTTGAGTAAGAATTAACAGCTGAGGAGACCATGTGCAAAGGTATGTCACAGTAGTAGTTAATGATTTGATTTGATTTGAAGATTTGACTCAGTGTTCTAGTCAGCCTTAAATTTTTGCCGTAACATCTTAAGCAACTTGATTATGATCATATGTCCTAACATAAATCTCCCCCTTTTTTTTACATAGGACAACTGTCTTATGCACAAATTGACCAAGTACGGAATGTCCTGAAAACGATTGGAACGTGGGACGTGGTGGACCTGCACGGTGGGAAGAGACTGATCGGTGACTTCAGGAGCTGCAAACAGGTGACAGTGAACCGTAAGGAGACAGAACTGCTGGAGTTCTCTCACCAGAGGAACGGATACATCAGCGCCATGTGGGCTCTGCTGGGATACATACCACAGGTATGATAACTACATTTAGCTTGAAAGTTTATCTGTGTTGGTGTAAAAGTCATTTTCCGTTATATTTGTGAACACAATGTACTAGTTATTCAACAACCAGTGGGTTTGTACATCCAAAGTTTTGGTGCTCTATTAAAGGAAGATGACAGACGGTCACTGAAACATTGGATGTAAAAATCCACTGGTTGTGTTGAATAAAGAATCCTCTCACTCTTATTTTCCAACACAATGATTGGACTCACTAACTGTTCAACTAGCTAGTCCTCTGGTCTTCTTTAGGATACCTGAGGTCAGTGCAAAAGATAACGTTATCGGTCAGGTTACACTGTTGATTGAGGAATGATTCCACTCTACTCATACTAAATTTGTATTTTCTTTTGAAGGACATTGTATGATTATTACATGACATGAACAGCCATGTTGTACCATGTATTTCTCAGGTGTCCGTGACGTTGTACGACAGAGGTGGCGCCGGCTGGCTCTGGCACTCCTCGTCTGGCGTCATCAGTGTGCCCTACAATGCTGAGATCGTCTTCCGCATCTGTGGCGAGGAGGTGGACGCCAAAATTCCCGCCAACAACATCGACAGAATCACCCTCAGTATCTAACGCCTTCATAGAAAACTGTAAACAGACATGTTCACTTTTCCCATTGAAAGTCGGGGTCAGAAGAACATTCTCAGTGGTTAGAATTTTCAATAAGGAATATCATTAGTGCCTGACGGCATCATGTTCTAGCAATTTTTCTCTGCAGGATCCATGTAAATTAAGGCTTAGTAACTATGTATTATCTACCCTACAGTGTTTTCAATTTATTTAAGGTGGTAGAAGTTCTTCTCTGCTGCAAGAAACCACAGAAGTTGATGTTGGTAGTCATGCATTTGGAAGAGAGGTTATAGTTGTTATTTGTATTCAGTGTTCTTTGTATATGAATATATCAATGTGGACTGGTGTGTGATATTATATTTGTAATGTATTGTACCAGAAATGTTAAATGTAACTTTTCTTCTCACAGTTGTGTTGAATGATAGCACTATATGTCAGACTTTTACTAGTTTTAGGGTGGGGGTATATAAATATTTATATACCTTAAACATTACTTTTGAGTCCACTCAGACTAGAAAGTTGAAAATAAAGGAAACCTTTTGCAGAAAGAACAACAGCAAAACTGAAAGTCTGTACTGATGTAGATAATACTCAACACGTTGTGGGAATATATGGTGTGTGTTGAAGTAATATTTACTATAAAACATGTATTTTGAAACTGTGAAATCACAAGGGACAAAAAGTGAAATGTTTTCATGCATAGGAAGCATCACAAAATGTGGGGTTTGCGTACCAACATTTTGACATTTGAATCCTGTAGATGTCTGTCTCTCCACAGAAAATGTCCATATAGGAAACAGTATTTTTCATCTCACTTGTACATGTACATCTATTGTATGGTATTATATAGTATTATGATTGTGTCTACCAAATGTTGCCTTTATTGTTCAATATACCACGGGTATTGGATAATATTTGTTGCTTTGAAGAGGGGCAATCCAGCATGTCAGCAGAACATACTGCACCTGTACGAATTCAGGATTTTTCATGGCTTTCATTTAATGCATGGCCTTGTAGAGAATTTTGCCAGTTGCAGGCAATCTTTTCCAGCACAGCATTTGAAAACTATAGACGGGATGTTTCTTAAATACTCGCACAGGATCTTACATGTGAACAATATTTGTTCTGCCAAATGCTATGTACATTTTATAGGTTTTACACAGGAAGAGTATGTTCTGCCTAAGTACTGAACAGTCCTATGTTTTAGCAGCTCTGTCTTCTATCATAGGGCTAGGGAAATCAGAACATAGGTTGAGTTGTCAGAACATAGGATTGTAACTGCTTAGGAAGTCACTGTTGGGCATGACAATCGATAAAGTATCAATGTGTATAATTGTCAAGGAAAAGTGAATCTAAGCAAAGAAGATAAACCCATTTTTGGCACATCTTTAGTGGCTTCCGTACTTTAACCACCTTACTGCAAGTGATGCATTCATGACTAAAATTTGTATTGGCTGTAGTATGCCTTAAGTAGTAGAAGGTTAGAAGGTTAACACTTAGTCTTCATATCAATGAAGAATCTATTTTGTGCCCATTTGGCATTATAAGGACAGACATAGTGAACTAGCAGTCATGTCTCGAGCCAGTATTGTAAAAAAAATCATTCAGTGCATTGTATTTGTGAATTCCAGCTTATTTTATTAAACATATGACAAGTTAGCAAGTTTTTTTTTTTCACTGCTGCATGAAAATGCATTGGAACTGCTTTTTAAATCATTGAATTGCTGTGGCCTGATGGATGAAAAATCCAAGGAACCACACCAAAAGTGGTCCAAATGCAGAGGTGGTCACCAGTATACAGGTTTGGCTGTAACTGAAACTGTGCTACTAGTATTTATTTTCAGTGACAGCGTGTGCTATGTCACTAAGTTTGTACTGGTTTCATAACATTATTGCACCCAACATCTTGTGCACAATTGTAACAAGTACAGTGGACAAAAGTGTGTTAAATGTTACATTTTCACTAGAAAACGTTAACAGGTGTATATTTATAGTCATGGCTGTATGGTATACAGTAGGCTGCAGAAAATACAACAATCAACATTATGAGTGGCGAGTATATATAGATATGAATATATAATATATATTGAAATGCATGTACATGTACAGATATGTAACTGACACCACGTATGGACTTGTACATGTCACTATATGTGATCTGAAGCTCCACACTTGTAGTATTGCCCATTTGGCAAACTCTGTACACAATATACTTCACACCTTTTTGACAATAACAGTGGTCTGTTTTATCATTCTGTAACACTTCGTGTAATAAACTTGAAATGATATTATGTTTTCGTTGTAATGCCCTACAATTTCAATACATTCATTTATCAGAATAGAGACTTTCGACGCTGCAGAGAATATGGCAAAGATGCAAAGTTTAGAAATCCTTTGCTGGCTCTTTGTGAATGAATAACCTCAAAAGCATCTTGGTTACTCCAAACCAATCACTGGTTGATTGATTGATCGGTTGATTGATTGATTGATTGATTGATTGATTGATTGATTGATTGATTGCAACAATAGACTAAATGCAGAATACCGAGAATAGTCTAGAGCCCAGCCTTGTTTGATTTAGTCCGCTCCCCAAAATCCGCAATAGTTATACGTTCACTGTCCTTGGTGCTGAACGCCTTCCAACCCAAAAATTTTCCTTACCCGACGGGGTAGCTGTAGTTTTGGGGAGCGGAACTAAAGCTAAAGAAGGCAGCAGCCCAGGGAGTAACGATAGCAACAAAAGGTAGCGCAGCCTTGTTTGAATTTGGCAACGCGGTATAACAATTCTATTTCAGTCTCTCCACCGTGCAGTGCTCGTCGCCGCCCTCCTCTACCATCTTGAGTAAGGCGGGGTT